TGGGAATATGACAGCAAATTTCCTGGATGTTTTCTCTTACCATCAGATCACAGCAAGGCAGCATTCTATGAAGCCCTCTATTATGATGATACATGTATCATCTTTCACTATGGATTGCAGAAAATACATGTGGCAAACAACAAATAGCAACCTTCCCTTTTCTCAGCAGGCACCACAGTTACTTCCTTATACCGTAAATCCATTCATGTATTGTTGGCAAGTTGGAGCTGACCCAATAGCATTAAACTCAAACTCATTAAAACTGTGTTTTGTGTTCCTAACAAAAATGGCACAGGATCACAGGACTGGGGTTGACAGTTTCTGAATTATTCACACTACAGTACTTAACCTCCTGATACACTTTGATTACCTTAAACTGCCAGTTTTAGAATAAAACATGAGGTAAATTTAAAAAATTTAGGAAAAAATCATGTAATATCATAGACAGTCTTCTAGAGTAAGCTTGAGTGTCTGTTTTATCCAGCTTTTTTCCTGGTTGGTTCAATTGAATTTCTTTTGTCATATATTTATAAAATGTCATTCATATTTTTCCAAATGTCATTTTTAAAATTCCTCTGCTTAACCTAAATTATATCACATACTGATTAGCGCTTTTGTCAAACATACAAAAATGTGGGTATCCAAAATGTGACTGGGACAACATACATCCTTTAGAGTCTAGGGAACAGGAAACATGAAGGTGTTAATTATTAATCCATTGTTTTTCAAGCAGCACTTCCTATCACTTTTCCCAAGCTTAGGATCAAGTTTCACAATTGCATATGTGGGCATGTGTCTGGGTGCTTTGACTGGTAGGAAGAGTGTGGTGTAATGGTTTTGATGGCAAACTAAGGAGCAATGTGTGTAAATATGGGTGTGTGTATGTGAGAGAGAGAGAGAGAGAAGTTGTTTGCCGTGAAAAGGCAGAGGTCTATATAAGAACTTTTACTGTCCCAGATGAAGCAATAAAGGTTGGTGTTAGGGTGAGCACGCCTCACATTGGCTGAGAAGCTCCTCGGAGTACATGTTGAATTTCAGACACAGGGAATGCGTCTCTCCACCAGGATGACATTCAGATGCTCTTCTAGCAACAATTGACAAAGTGACCAGTGCTTCACAGGTGAGAAAGAATACGATGTTTGCATGAATGTCATTTTTTAAATTACCTTTCTTCAGCACCAGAATCACTTTGTATGTGGATAAATAAATGAATGGCATGCTCTATAGGCAGTTAATGTTTTTATATGTGTTGTTTTATAAACTCAGTCAACTCAAAAAGACCTTTGAGCTATTTCTAATCAAGTTTCCTACTAAACTTAACTAAACCTTGTAACAAAAGTTAATTTACTTTGGTTTCTCAGATTTGCGATTTGAATTTGATGCCACTTTTTTTTAATGAGAAGCTGCATCATACAAAAATCTTACCATTAGCTCAAAATGAATCTTTTAATACGTAAACCATCTGGACTGTATGCATGCTTTTTAGTAAATCAGATGTTTATATGGCTGCTCTTAAGCTTTGCATGCACCCAGTCTCAGAGGAGAACACCAGTGAATTTAGCAGCAACCGTTTTATTTTTCTGTGGCAAAGAAATTAAGTATAATCAATACTGTATATGACTGTCATGCTGTGAGAGCTGAAGGGATTAGGAAGCAATGTGACTTGGCAAAACAAACAAGGGCATACAAAAGACTGATTAGATCCCTGTGTTGCACCCATCTTCTCTTTTATAGCCTGTCAGCCTTTGGTCACCTGTCAGACTTTGCCCACCAGTCAGACTGTCAGGCAGGATCAACACTTTCACAGAAAAATATTCATGTAATTTACAATGTAAATTCTGTTGGAAATGCACTATGATAGAAATGAGCACTCTAGTGTGCATACAGTACAGTATAGTGAATGACAGCATATGATACACTCTTTTCTTTTTAGACCCCAAACTAGTATCCTAGTGGAACCTACTGTAACTGCAGGCAAACATACAAAAGAGGTCATGCACCATAGCTCATACTAGAGTGAGCTGAATATCAACAAGGTTATCAGAAGTTAACCTTGAAATTCCTATGGTGAAAGAGACCTTGTGTGGAGAACAGCTACCAGGCTTAGCCTGATCCACTCTGAAAGCTCTGTGTATTTACTTATGTAGCTGTACCTACCTACAGTATATAGAGCTGTCTAGTTCCACATCTACTGTTACTCTGAGACAATTATCAAGGCCAAGTGAGCAAAGGTTGGGCGTGAGCTCGTTCCATAGTCTAGGTGAAGCAACACAATTAGCTGCTCTTTACATATAACAATGACTCTTTTTCCTTTTTTCTTGTATTCCCAGTCAAGCTTTTTCTCTTTTTTGTTTATGCCACACAAGACAACAAATGTTGGAATTGTTGGATAATCACCTTTATTAGGCCAAGTATGTTACACACAAGGAATTTGTTTTCGGTACAGAACTGAGGCAGCCATCTGTGGTGTCAACTCACACCGATGGCTCTAACCCTCAGGGGCAACTTGGGGGTTCAGTGTCTTGCCCAAGGACACTTTGACATGTGGACCAGGCACAGGCACCATGATTTGAACCACCAACTCTCGTTGGGAGATGACCGCTTTACCCACTGATCCACAGTCGCCCCCCAACGGCTAAATTATATTCATAATTGTGTGTATAATACAGCTACTTATCCTATTCCGCTACATCAATGGACCTGATAGGAAATGCTGTGTAGCATCAGCCAGGGACAAATGACCTTAGTTGCGGGTATTTATTAAGAATTAGAGTTTGGTGTTCTTTGTTTATTTGTTTGTTAGATTGATAGGCAGACTCAAGTGACTAACTTTAGTGTTACTGTTGCTAACCGCTAAGGTAGCTACTGCTAACTGAGCTGTGTGACTCCGCTGCTGTTAGTAACCGATAATCTGGAACTGGTAATAGGCATATTAGATGCATAAATTTGTGCCCAAACATAAACTAAATGGTTTTTGTAACTAAAGAGTAACATAATGACACAATTTCTTTCCATGAGTGGCTTCAATGCAAGTCAGTTCCCTGAAACGTGAATGAATTCATAGTGGTAGAGGCCAGAGACCTCCAGCCAAAGTCACTGGCTCATCACAGCTGCCACTTCAGCGTCATTGCCCAGTAGAGACGTAGTATTACTCCTCACCCCGCGTTGGGGTTGTAATCAGAAAATTGTAATTATTATTATTATTACTATTATTATTGTTATGTTGCAAAGAAATCTATTTTGATTGCAGTACCACAGTTCTCCCATATATTTTCTTTGACTGCAGATTAAAGAAACAAAATAAACCCTATAGGTGTCCCATACAATTCCTAGTGGCTACGTTTTAGAAGCACAGACCTAGTGACCACAGTGTTCATTAACAAGGATTTTTAAAGGGTAATGTAACTTAAAAACACAGGACACTATATTGTTGCTGTATTGTTTTCTGTGTGTTGAAACCTTCAGGCATGTTACACTTTTGGCCACACACCAATAAGTGATGTCAGAACAGTTTTTTTCTTACTCTCATAACATAGGTGTGCCTAGACCTGCAGCATTCCTCATTCCTGCATGCTATTTTACTACAACCCATAAAAAGCTGTTTTATGATGTATAATTCCAATGTCAAATTACCTTTAATTCTGCATAGAATAAAAGCCTATTCAAATATGATTGTAATGTGCTACAGTTTTAGTCACACATGCGCTGGTCTGTTGGTCTGCCCGCTTTTGTCCAGACTGAAATATCTCAGAATCTTTTGAATGGATTACATTTCATTTTGTCCTGATGTTCATTCTTACCAAAGGCTGAATCCTAATGAGTTTAGTGATTTACTCTGGTGCCACCTCAGGGCTTATATTTTGTTATTTAATGAACTGGCATGACAGCTGCCTCCCTCAGGATGAATTGTAACAACTTTGATGACCCTCTCACTTTCAATTTAGCATTATCATCAGATAAAAAAAAAATATATATATATAACACATGTATATACATATATACATATTTCCAATACTTTACTTTATGTACCAACTACCTGCAAAACCCTGCAAAGAAAATGGAATCCCCATAAGCTTCATCTGTACCTTGTGTTCTGTGCTGTTAGTATGCTAACATGCATGGTAAACAATTAACACCTGCTACACCTCAGCACATTAGCATTGTCAGTCTAAGTGTGTTAGCATTCTGGCATTAGTATTTAGCTCAAAGCAATGCATGGCCTTCTAGATTCCTGTAGGGCATCAACTGTAAATATCACATCCTTGTTATGCTCATGTTATGTGAAGCACTTTGTTCTCCTTTTGAGTTGTAAAGTGCTATATAAATAAAGTATTATTATTATTATTATTATTATTATGAGACGTGGCATGGCATCAGCCACAGTTTGATGTAAGCCAGGAACTCCAGACTGATACCAGTTGACTTCTCATTAGACTCAAAACACAGGTAAACAAAGAGCCACACCCCGGCCTCAGGTCATGTTAGTGCACACACACTATGCCACTGTTAACTACACAATATGTCTGGGTTTGTGGCATCGCTGTGTTACATCTGTGTTTTGCTTGTATCCTGTTTGTGTCTTTCCAGATGTGTGGTTGTATGTCTGAGCAACATATGAGGAGCAATGATGCACTAGAGGGGAGCTAAAGGGTGAAGGATGCAAAAAGAGGCAAAACAAAAAAGAAGGCGTGTTTTATGTCCAGAGGGTTTAAAAAGTTTGGAGTGGGAGGAGACACAACACCGAGAAGGCACACAGGTAGGACAAGACAGAGAGGAGGGTTCAGTTTGCCTGGAGTATTTTTGTTTTGTCACCAGGGCTTGGTCATTCTGGGAAGGACTGAAACACCAGGTTACACTCATGACTTTTTGTTATAGCCTTGGGGTTTCAGAAAGAGGCAAGTCAGGTACCATTCAAGCCAGATTAACTTACACTGCCGGAGCAAAAAAAGGAGAGCAGGAAAGAGATCGAGAGACTGAATCAAACCAAGTTTTGTAATTCAAGCAAATGGAGCAGGCTTGAGGGAAGAGGACAAAGGACTTGCACGAGATAGTGAGTTTCTGGGGAGTCCCACCTCTAGGGAAGGAGGGCAGCGCTAACTCTACTCAGTGTTGGTTGAGGGCCTTTTCAACTACATCATGAGGGTGAGTGCAAATGAGGTGGAATCAACATATTCATTGTAAAGATGGCTAATCAGGTCACTGGTTTACATTGAAAGGACCATGGCTATTTGAATAGTGTCACTATATATATCCTTGTAACTCATTTGTTTACCATTTTGCAGTACTGGCTCATACCAGCAGCTCTATTTTGCATTTTTGGAGATGTGCATGGGAGGGCATATTGCCTTATGCTGCAGTGGCAGCTTGGGGTGCAAGTGGGAACAGTTCAGGTGCATAATGACCCTGCTGACTGATTTTATTTGGTTTGTGTGGAATAGTTTATTTTACTTCTATGATGCTCTGGTAACGCTTGTTCATGTCTGTATGTGTGTAGTGCAGTTTTGGGGAGTACTGAATTACATGTTATTAAATTAGGAGTTTGACTACATTTTGTGTTAGCTTGCTGGTAGGTCAACTACATTCATATTTGAATAGCCATTCAAGTAATCAAATTACTTTTTTGCAATTTTTGGTGTAGTTAACTACTGAAACTACACATTTGTAATAAAAGGAAATGAATGATTTTTGGATTATAACTGCGAGACACTGCTCATGTGTCACATAAACAAGAGTTTCTACTCTGCTGCTCTGACAAGCGAAAAGGCAGTCCACTGTTCAAGTTATTCATACTCTCTGAAAAGGTGCGAGCTGAAGACTTGAAGATGACAAGTAAGACAACAGGCCTGTTTTTAAGATCAGTGTTCAAATTGGTTGAACAGTCTATGGTGAAATTTTTTAAAAAGTCCATACAGTCTCTGAGAACCTGTGGTGAAAACTCATGACTCACCGGAAGAAACTGAACTACAGTAAAGCTAATGAAATATAGTTTTGTTAATTGAAGTTACTTAGAATCAGAATCAGCTTTATTGGCCAGGTGTGTTGGACACACAAAGAATCTGACTCTGGTAGAGCGGCTCTCAACGCGTATGTACATGGCCTTATGTAAGGCAGCAGTGGGCAAGTAACCAATATAAGGCTGAGAACAGAAGTAAAGTAGACTTAGAGAAAGTAGTCCAGACTACTTTAGAGAAAGTAACCATTGTTAAAAAAGACCAAATTGACAATGTTCATATGAATGATACAAAATTATAACAATGTAATACAAAAAAATCATATGCCAGCACAACGTGCCACTCAGTCACATTTACTACCTGAGACCTAAACCTGTCCTGTGTTAAATTCTATAGTCCACCATGTCACCCATAGTTTCTCAGCAGACCTTTTGTGAATTAATATAATCCAACAAAGGTGAGATGCAGCAACAGGGACACCTTATTTGAACAAAATATTTACCATAGCAGGGTTTTATCTGGTTGAACCAGTTATACTTTGCTGGAGCTGTTCCCACTAAGGCTGGGCAAACTGGCTGTCCCATCGTATCAGTCAGTCTGACTCTAGAAGACGCAAAAACACATTTAACAGGATCGAGGTTAGTTGCAGAAATAACCTGTGCGATACAATATGTTCACATATGGCTAATGCTACCTAGTTGTTTGGAAACATTGTTCTGGCTCTTAGTCATGATACAAAGACAGATATAATAATTGTATGTCATAGTATGACATAACAGTTTCAGGTTTGTGCTTGTCAATTCTCAGCAGTGTGCCTTTTTTTAGCCATCTTGGTTAGCTGGACCTCCAAAAATGCTCTGACTCAATCATTCTACCATTACTCCTCTCACTCATCCTTCCTCATTATGCTAACTATCAGGTGATGACGACCTGTCAGAGTTTCCCTCCAGTTGATAGTATTGATAGGTGTGTGTGATAATTTTTACGATGTTAATCAGCCTCTGTTAAAAGTAAATTATTCACTTACACAGAGACATTTCTATTACACAGGTTTTCAACTGATAATTTCCATATTATCAGTGTGAGGCAACACTGCAAATAGCACACAAAAGATATCTAAAGTTATTACATAAGAGGAAAGACATGGCTACAAACTAATTATATACAACTTCACCATACGTGATTACAAGTCTCATATTACAAGCGAAAGTGCTGCAAGGCTTAATGCACCCAAGTGAAACCTTGCTTTATTCAGTGTACAGAGAAATCTGAGAAGGATTTCACAACAATAAAGGATAATATGTCGATATCTCTGACATATGCAGCTTTTATGCTTTAAGCTAGACATGAGCATTTGAAACGGTGTCTTATGAATGTATCTCGGGGAGTTTCTCAGCACAGCTCTCAGCCGACACAGCTGATTCATAGCAGAGTTAAATTAAAAAAAACTTGCCCAACAACATTCTTTACTCCTCTCTCTTCATAGAGACTGTACACTTTGCTTGTTCCTTGCATTTGACCTAGAGCTGATATGAGGCAATAGTATCGGTGGTTTTTAATACACAGAGATAAGATTTCATACCTTTCACTTTGGGTGATTTTGAGCACTTCCTTTCAACTGAAGCCATTCTAGGAGAATGCGGCTGGTGGCATAGACATATGCAAATGTGAGAATTTACCTAATACTTTTAAGCAGAACTTTCCAAAGTATTATGCAACGCATACAGAGTACTGTACAGAGGTTTAAAGTTGAAACAATGAATCAAAAACAGGGAGGACAAGACAAAACTAGAACATGGAAGTGCTCTTCAAACTGTCAGCCTGTCACTACATACCAGGGGAGGAGAACCTGCAAATGGGCTGGTCAACAGCCAAACTGATGTGACACTTGACCTATAACAGTACAGGGTCACCTCTGATGAATGAAATCACATCTGCCAACTACAGAGGATGCACTGAAAGCAGCTTACAAAAAGTGTCACAACACAGATGATCTCAGTTTGTGCACCATGAAACTAGTCTGGATTGAAAATTTTCAGAATTTGGTGGTGTGATTCCATGGCGGAGATGCTGGTGATTCGTGGTTAGAAATCCGCTTTTGAAAGAAATATTAGTAATTTACTGACATTCCTTTGTTTTTCTTAAACGACAAATGATTGATTGATTTATTCTTTCAAACATGCAGAACAGAACAAATGACAGCAACACACACATAATTACACATATCCAACCAATGCTAATTTTCAGTTTGCTTACACCTATTACATGTTTGAATGGAGTAGGAAGAAGTCAGACTTATCCAGTCCTACCCCATAACATCATATTATACAAAAAATTTCATGCATCATTGGCTGCAAGCAGTATCTCTACATAGGTAATTATCTTCTTCACCAACAAGTAATACACAGAAAATTAAAACAGAGTGTTTCCTTAATGCCTTCTCAAATAAATCTTATTCTTGCATATATCTTGTATGACACATACATTTATATTTATATTTAAACTCCTCAATT